CAGGAAATTTCCAAGAAATTATTTTTGAAACAGTGGACCTGTAAAATAAAGCAATATCCTAAGACACAAAGACAATGACCACCTTTTTTTACATTGACTCTATGTTATCATGTTTACAGTAACACAACTCCAGCCTTAATCATTCCCTCGGTGGCCAATTACAGCTACCCGCTGCTTCCTCTTCAACCAGTCTCAACTCTCAGATGTGGCTATAAGAGCAATGTATCATCACAGACTGTGTGCACACATTCACTCACAGACCATTATGCCGTTGTGGAATTGTGGAGCTGGATGGGCTCTAGGCACCTTTTGTTCTGTTTTGTTCTAAAACCGTTCAGTGTTGTCCTAAGAAAATCTGTTTCCAAATCTGTGTTTGGACTCAACTTTCAGTAAGCAATCATTCTGGGGCAATTGTTGTCTGTCTGCCTGGTTTTCCATTTGTCTCAGATGGGCAGCCTATCCAGATTGTCAGACTGTTTGCCTGCATTTTCATCTGTGTGCGTCTGTCAGGTTTTGTCGATCTGGCCACCCAGTAATCTGGACCCTCCAATCTGTAATGTAGAGCGGTGCATCCTTTCTTTTCTCCCTCCACCACACCACAGATGCCTTGCCAATCTAATTGTCACAAAATTTCCATCAAGCTGCTCCGTTAGCCTGCGTTGTGAGGACTGCAGAGTCAGCAGAGACGAGAAGATGAGAAAATCTGTGTTGAATTAATTCAGGTGAGTGCGCTGTTCTGGGTGGGCAAGTAAATGGTGCAAGTGAAATGCTTTGTCTATGAAGGTAGTTAAAGATTCAAAACAATAGAGATGGTATTTATCTAAAAAACTCTCGATGCAAGGAACCCGTATTTGCATATTTATATTTCACCTCCACAGGTGCCAGCTCAGCATTTTTCTCTACTCCCTTTTCAACACACATTTTCTCATCCACTCACACAGTGATAGCCCTGAGACTCAGCTCTGCTCTGCCACAAATAAAGGAGACTCAGTGATTTCCTGTATCATTAAGAGTGCAGCCTGCAAGAAAACAGATTCAAATTAATATAGAAATCCTAAGTTTTCATCAACACCTCAAGATTTCAGTGTAGTTCAATTTTTATGCTTCTGTGCCAGCGATAGCCACAGCCAGAGGCTTAAAGTTTTTTGAATTTGTCTAAAAAAATCTATAACTTGTCCTCACAACCACAGTTTTCACTCCTTTTACACATGTTTTTCTACTGAATTGTAGACACATCTGTGCTCTTCCTGACAGTATAACTGGAAGTAAATGGATTCACAGGAGATGCACAGTGAGCTTCAGAGTAACACGAGTGCCACATTGACTCCTATGTAAACAGTATTAGGCAGGTGGTCATAATGTTATGTCTGATCGGTGTATACAAGTTGAGAAAGTGCAAGTTAAAATGAGCAAACCATAGACTAGCTGTTCATGAATGTAATGGCCTGGGGAAAGAAACTGTCTCTGTGTCTGGTTGTCTTGGTGCACAGTGACCTGTAACGCCGTCTAGAGGGGAGGAAATCAAACACTTTGTGTCCAGGGTGTGAGGGGTCTGCAGAAATCTTCTCTGCCCTCCCTCTGACCCATGAGGTGTACAGGTCCTCCATGGAGGTCAGGCTGACACAGATGATTCTGCAGTCCTGACTGTCCGCTAGAGTCTGTTCCTGTCCTGTTTGGTTGCTGAGACAAACCAGACAGTGATGGATGGGCAGAGAACAGACTCCATGATTCCTCTGTAGACTTGTATCAGCGGCTCCTGGGGCAGGTTGAACTTCCTGTGCTGGCACAAGAAGTACATCCTCTGCTGTGCCTTCTTGATGACGGTCCTGATGTTCTATGTTATCATGTTTACAGTAACACAACTCCAGCCTTAATCATTCCCTCGGTGGCCAATTACAGCTACCCGCTGCTTCCTCTTCAACCAGTCTCAACTCTCAGATGTGGCTATAAGAGCAATGTATCATCACAGACTGTGTGCACACATTCACTCACAGACCATTATGCCGTTGTGGAATTGTGGAGCTGGATGGGCTCTAGGCACCTTTTGTTCTGTTTTGTTCTAAAACCGTTCAGTGTTGTCCTAAGAAAATCTGTTTCCAAATCTGTGTTTGGACTCAACTTTCAGTAAGCAATCATTCTGGGGCAATTGTTGTCTGTCTGCCTGGTTTTCCATTTGTCTCAGATGGGCAGCCTATCCAGATTGTCAGACTGTTTGCCTGCATTTTCATCTGTGTGCGTCTGTCAGGTTTTGTCGATCTGGCCACCCGCCTGTCTTTGGGTAAAAGTAATACAAAATACTTTGTATAATAAAACTATAATAGAACTAATAATAATAATGACAAGTAAAATTTTGAAGCTGAACTGCGCATGTGAAAAGATTTGAAGATATTATTTACCCAAAAAGATGCAACAGGACATTGTTTATCAGTTAGTATACCTCTTTACCTCCATTACACCAGTGGAAACACAATAAATCAACATCACCAGCAACAGCAAGACATCTGTTTGGGAAACAAACTGACAAAATGCACTTATTCATTTGCATGTGATGGATATTTTGTGTGAAATGTTGTCAAATGTGATTCAAGGTGTTAATGTGGTGTAAGGCACCAACTATAACTTCCCCTTTTCCTGTTGATTGCCTGACTAACAGTAATGATTGCAATTGCATGATACAGTATCAAGCCAGTATCTAAGAATATAATACATTGGTAAAACAAAACCACTGAACAGAAATGCAGCTTGCAGTTTTTATATTAAGAGAATATTCTAATTAGTTTATTGTCATAAGTAATGCTTTTACCCATTGCATATTTCACAGTGCTCTCAAACAGAAAATCAATACTTGTGGCTTTCAAATCACAAATTACTTTATAGTTGTAGCTAATAACAGGGCAGGACATAAAGTGAATGAATATGCATTTGAAACAAAAAATCTAAAGTGGTGTATCCCCTTTAACCAACATTCGTTTTCTTGTTGATTTTGACTTGCCTGTTGATTCGTTTGCCTGTTGACTGAACTGACCCTTTGTAGCACCTTCTACATAATAACATGTTAGCACCAGGTCCAGTGTGAAAATCATGACCCTTACTGTAATGTAATATATTCTAATGACCATTAACAAAGGTTAATAAACATGTTAACAGATTTGCAGGGAACATGAGACAAGAAAAGAGAGTGCAGCATGTTATTTTTTATAATACTGCACAAGTCTGTGACAGCCAGGCTCCATTATCATTCCAGCAAATACATTATCACCTTATTTCAACTTTAACACACTGTTTTGTCTTACTGTAGGCAGGGTCCAAGGGAAATGAAAGGTGTGAGAACAAAAACCGACAAAAAACAACTAGGCGCACTGCATTACCTGCCTCTGTTCCACTTTTCTGCAGTGAGCCATATGGAAAGATTAACATCAGGAGGCACCACCGGTGTTTTTAAAGGATTGAGTGAGGATCCAAAGGAGTTTGAAAAAAGAGGAGATGGCTTCTCCAAGAAATTCTCAACTAAAAGCTCATTTTTCCTTCCAGAGCCATTCTATGTGGGCGAGGTGGACAAAACAAGTCTTCATGCTGATTATGTTAGATTATACTGCACAGCTGCCTAAAACATCACAATCCAGAAGGTGAGAAAGACCAATTTTAAAATGTGGGTCTCAAGACTCCATCGTGACATGCGCGCAGTAAAAATGATCCTCCCATCCATTTAAGTCTGACAACTGAACTCAGCCTTGTAAATGTCCCTGCCATCTCTAAACTCATTTTTTTAAGCATAAAATTCTTCTCAAATGTCGTACTCTCTCCTGCTCCCTGCAGAGACATTATATGTCTACAAAATGACTGCCAAAGGCTGGGGATCAATACAATACTTCTTCTATGATTTGTGAGAGTTGTCCCAAGCAGTGCACGGTGCAAAATGCGGAGTACAGCGGGGGTCTCTGTAGTCATCATTATATTGATCTACATGCTGTCTGTCATCGGGATGATCAACGATGGCTGAGGGACAATCAAGGCTGAACAAAGACATCACCCATCTATAGGATAATTTAGCAGTCTTCATAAACTCATACCTATTCGTAATCCTGTTGTTCAATGTCACCCATCCGTCTTCAGCCTGACAACCCGAGTGATTTATTCAGTCCTGGCCATAAAGTAGACTGAGTGGAGCAAACCCGAGGGATTCTTCCTAACAGGGTAGATTTACATCCATCTGCCTATATGTGTATGTGGTGGCTCCACAGCATATCCATCAGCAGAAACATGTAAACGTGCTGATGCAGGGGATAAAGAGGCACAACAATACCATCACTCTGACAGGGAGACTGCGTAGTGTGTCAGTACAGGATCGGTACAGCAACAAATAAATCAACAGGTCCCACAAACCCTCATGCCTAATCTTTGGGTTAAGTGGGAGTGGGGTTTAATTCAAGTACAATGCTCTCATAACTATTTTGAACACATCATGTGGGAGTACAAGAGCATAGTGAAAACAGCAGGCTCATAAACGGTCACTTGTTTGTTGTCACATCTGTCATCAGGGGTCATTTTGTGGCAGACATTTTGTAACCCTCCTAATAAACATGTTAAATGAAGCCATGGCTGAATATTCTTGAAAGCTATTTATACTGGAAAATAACATGCATTTCAAATAATTGGTTGATCTCCCCCCAGTCAAACCTTCTCTTTTAAAAGCAAATGTATATGCTTGTCTGAATAAGCCAGCTCAGATGGAGGTTTATTCTAGTTTTCCTCAACAATTTCAATCTTTGCTGCTACTTCTACATTCTTACTACCTACAGTATTCACTCCTTCTACAGCCAGACTAGGTAGATTTATAGTTTGGTCTTTTCTGCAACAAAGCATGCATTGGTTCACTGAAAAAATATATCATAGGGTTGGTCTGATGAAAAATGGAGTTGCGTGCATTATCAGAACCAATCATCACTAACAAGTCCAACATTCCAGCATTGGACTGATACATTGAGCAGACAGTAACTCACCCCTGCAGCTCTTTGACAGACATAGAGATCTTGAGGTTATGGCCAAGAACATGGAGGGCAGTGAGGATGTCAGCCCACTGGACCATCTCTCCCAGAGGACCTCCTTTCAGCACCTTGGGGCTGAAAACATCTCCAGACTCCTCTGTAAGGAAGCCTACATGGACCAGGATCTGAAGGGGAACAGAGACACATTGTAGCAGAGAGTTCAAATAAAACTTTGAGGAGAAGCTTCAAAGCTCTGCTTGAAAACAGTATGTATTAGGGGTGGGAATCTTTGGCCAGCTCAGTTTTTTGCTGCTACACATGTGCTGTAACCACCATGTATCATTCTTAATCCTCTACATGTTAGCCATCTGAAGAAAGGTTTTACATTTTTCATGTGAGTGCCTTTGATTTTTTTTTATATACATGTACCTATCACACAACATATCCTGATGTTGGTCAAATAACTTATACAAGCATAACGTGTATATTATAAAGTATATTTAAGTTAATCAGATTTACCTTGCATTATTTATATACTGTCTGTGTGCAGACTGAATAAAGTTAAGCTCCTTGGTAGTTAAGCTTCTGCAGTGCAAAGTGGTTTAATGAGTTTGAGGATTAGAATCATTAGAATTTCAGTGTCTTCCAGAAGAAAATTGCTCAAAAGTAATTCTTTGAAATCCCCACTGAATTATCCCCTCATGCTCCAACAAAATAGAATGCACATGTATAAAATCCATCATTTTGAACTTTACTGTACAACATATTTCCAGATGTTGGTACAGATAACTGCTGTAATTAATTCCCAGGCACCCAATGGGACAATGTTTGCTTTAAAAACCATATATAAGGGTAATAAGGATAATCACCTTTATTGGCCAAGTATGTTACACACAATGAATTTGTTTCTGGTACAAAACCGGAAACTATATGGAACCGGAAAATATATGAAGGAATTATCATGGTTTCTATGCTACACTGTCACACAAATTTGCACTTGCAGGCTCCAGTCCTGTCATGCATGTCCACCTAGCTAATGCATGATTAGTGCAACCCACTGAGAAATGAGCAACACGTTGCTTTTCACAGCGGATTAGACACACAGCCTTGTCCAAACATTCTCTGTTGGGTAATCCTGATTAGCTAAGGCAGCATGAACAACTCCCGCTGATTTTGTTGGCATGTGGAGCCTGCAACCTTCACCCCATGACATGCATAATGAGCTTAAGACCAACTGTGTCAAGTTTCCCAGAACATTTTGATGGTGACTGTTTACTATGCTACTCCTCTCTCTGCTTGTATGTGGGTTCTGTGTCAGCTTTGTAATGCAGACGTAAGAATTAAACACTTCTAAGAGCTGTTTTAGAAAAGTGCTGCAAAGCATTCTATTATTACTCTCTCCATCACATCATATTAACCACAATGCACTAATGCTTGAAGTTTTCAGTAGAGATGTGCCAATCGTTCAGTGGAGATTGGAAGTGGCCTGTTTTCACCGTGATCAGCCTTGGCAGGTGCCCGGCTGATCACTCAGAGATTTCTGCTTCTGTGCCGATCAAATTTGGAGGCATGACAGTTCATGTCGCACATGCAGTTGCACCAAGCAGCAACCTCAGATGCTGAGAAATTAAGAGCATGGCCACTTTGAGTGACAGGCAGGAGGGTGCTGCCGTAGGTGGCTGGGCCCTAGGTGTCTAGGAAGCTCCAGCCTTGGCAGGTGCCCGGCTGATCACTCAGAGATTTCTGCTTCTGTGCCGATCAAATTTGGAGGCATGACAGTTCATGTCGCACATGCAGTTGCACCAAGCAGCAACCTCAGATGCTGAGAAATTAAGAGCATGGCCACTTTGAGTGACAGGCAGGAGGGTGCTGCCGTAGGTGGCTGGCCACTAGCTGTCTAGCAAGCTCCACTCACACTCCACCTCTTTGCCCTTTTTTTGGATTAGCCGTAGAAGGTGGAGTGAAGTACTAGTGACACTGCCATGATAAAAAGTTAACAATACAATATTTATCATATTAAAACATGAAGAAAAACTGAAAAATGTCCCTATTTATAATGTATATAAATATATGTGAAAGATAATGCAGTAGTTGGTAGCAGTCTTTTTATGAAGACTGCTGACATTGATATTGAAGAATTCAATTTAGTTACATGTATATACTGCTGTACTGCAGTTATAAAAGCTTCTTGTCTATTATAGCCATATACATCCACTATAAATGCTTAAGCTGTTGCACACATGTCTCATAGTTAATGTGTACAAAATGTGTGTAAAACATTGCACAATGGTGTGTCAGTGAGGCTCCAGTGAGACTCCAGCTGGCATGAAAAATCCTGTGATTTAATAAGCCTGATCTATTAACTTCTGCTTCATAGCAAAAAAAGATAAGTGAAATTTAATTACAGTTTGGGTGGCAGATGGGGAGAGTGAGAATTCATGGTGCCAATACTATTCACTCTCTTGGCTTTGTGATGGTGGCAGTTGTGGTGCTGGTGAGGGTGTATCACACAAAAACTGGCCACCATGCAAAAACATTGACAGAAGGAACTGAATTTCACACACCAGCAGCAGCACAGTAACACTGCTAAATACATATTGTATAAGAAATGTCACAGAGTGGCAGCAGAGATGAATATCGGTAGACTGGACACTAACAAACTGGCAAATGTAAAGTTAACAGGGAGAGAGAGGTAAGAGTGCTTTGCTAAACCTGGCAACTTGCACCTGATCTAGACTGATGAGCAGGATTTTACTTTTTCCCTAATAGGCAGAATTTATCTCCATTTGCAAATGTTAATGGGTATGTATGGGAAAAGAATTAGAGTGGAGTTCAATGAGACATGTCAGACAAATGCAGGAGAAATAATCTTTCTATCACCACAGTACACTGCAAATCAATGACTTGAACAGACAGAAGAGGGAAACTGTTGTGGGTGGTTTGCACCATGTTTTACTGTGCAGATCAGTGGCGCACAATCTCACCACCAACACAATCTCCTATTTGCTAATGCGCTAGCTTGAAAAACAAGAACGGGTGGAAAAGCCACACAGTGGGAAGTCAACAACAAGGGGAGATGTGAAGCTAAAGCTATACTTCTTTATAGACTCCTTAATCTCAGCCAGCTGCCTCCTGCTGGAATCTGATCAAACAAAGAGAGTGTGCAGCTCTTTATGCAGTGGACTCCTGTGTGTGCGTGTCTGAGTGTTTGTGCTAATGAATTTTGTATTTGTTTTTATTTATTTGCTTTGCACTGACATACATCAGTGAACTCCAGTCAGAATCCACCATGTGTGGATGCTTCTGCGTGTTCAGCATGGATGCACGCTCGCTCACTGTGAGCTCAGGGGCTTCTCAAAAGGATCTAAAGCTACGTTGTGCTTAACATCTCATGGGGATTGAACACAAAGACCTGCCAAACCCACTGAGATACAGTAGGCAGAGGTACAATAACAAGACACTTGTGCTCACATCTCTTGCTCACCTTTACAACGCCCCGTCTGCCTGTGCGCTTGTGTTCAGGCACCACCCCTCTCACGAAACATTTTATGCCACACATCAAGGTCTTTTTGCAACATCTTCTCTTTTCTGAATGCTCTTTCATGATCATACAACTTGGACAAGCCATTTAAAAGGAAATATTTTGGTTATTTATATGCTGATGTTAGAAAGGTTCTTGTAATGTGAGAATATGTCTAAGTAAAACAGTTGAAAATTCATTGACATGTACATAAAACAGCAGGAGAGTAGAAGTGGTTCACTAGTATGAGGTTCCACTCCACTGCCTTTATCACTAAGAGTCTAACAATAAGAAAATGATAAACCTGCCTCGGCATCTATTAGTGAAGGACTTTAGGATGTGTGTGTGAGAGGGAGAGACCCTGTTCGCTCGTGCTCTGTGGCCCTTGTGAAGGTTGCAGCTGTCCAATGGAAGGCCACGGGTGGCAACACAAGCTGGCGCTGCCTGCCATCACTGGTCTGCCCTCAATTTCACCTTCTCCATCATCTGCTTCCACAGACTACTTTCTCCTCACGTCTTTGCTGCTTCCCCTGCTGTCATATTCCTCCAAGCTATGTCCTTCCCATACTCTTTCCTCCTGGCTTTTTCTTACCTCCCAATTCTGTCCTGACTTCACCTTCCTTATCCCATTAGTCTCCTACACCGTCTGCACTTCATCAGTCGGAGGTCAATTAGCTCCCAAGAGGGCAGACGCAGGGAGAAGGCAAATTAGCAGTTTGGCATATGCTGACAAATACACTAAAAAGTGGATGCACAACGCACCCCATATAGGTAGAGATGCACAAGAAGTCGCTTGCTGAGACGCTTAAATTAACACCAGACAGGCAGTGAATGCACAGTCGCAGGTTAACAGGATAAGGTCAGTGTCTTCTCTGCTGCTGTTTCTTACAACCCGTTCCAGCATCCCATGGCTTAGTTGGAAAAAAGAGAACAGCACTCTGTCATGTGCAAAATGTTCCATCTGCTATGTTCTAATAAATGGGTTGACCGGGCTTTTGATTAAGTTTGATAACAGCAACAAAAGAAAGGCTGAGAAAAGATGAGTTCTCTCAAATGTAGTGCAGCAAAAGATGGATTGTGTTTTTACAAACTTCACAAACACTCGGGAAACAGACAGATTAGTCACAAAAGAAAACAGATTTCCAAGAATATTTAGCACAGGCTCAGTCATCTTTATCACACACACCTCCTTCTAGATTCTCTCTCCCTCCATACTTGCCTCTCTGCTCTACTAATTTATTCTTTTTTGGAGTAAACATCACACTGCTTACAATCAAAGAGAAAACCAAACAAGGAAAGAGGAATGAATCAACACAGCTGCACACTCAAGCAGAATTCTGAAGTTGCTATTGGAAGTGGGATTTTGTCAAAGGCAAGTCCAGGGCCATAGTCATTTCACATCAGACAGTGTTGTTTCCGAGGTCGGGGTCAATTAAAATCAAACAGCGTTCTCCTTGTCAGCGCTGAAGTGACTGATTCTTCACCTGATTCCTTTTATTATTATGTATTATCTTATTTTCCTTGTTTTAGTACTTATTTTAACGTTTAAATTAATCTTATTGTGAGGGAGAAGAGCAACTAAGAAATGGCAAGTTTGACAAAACAGACAGATTGAATTTTCAAACAAAATATATGAGATTCTGTCTTTGGCTGTTTATTACAGTGATATCTGATTATCAGTTAAACACACACATACAGACCCATACTGTTGTGCTTCAAATTATTGTGATAAACAGCTTTTGACAGCCAAGGCTAACTCTTACTTACACCAGTACATGTGTTGTTGAGATAACAGCAGCACACTGTGAGGCATATAGGGAGTTCAAGCAGCCACAGAGACATGATAGGAGACAACAAATCCCCTCAGCACACAAAAAGAAAGGAGACCATCAATCACAAACACAGAGGACTATTTCACCCCGTAACTTATTTTAGAAAGTGGGGGGTCATTTTGGAGAGAAGCAGCAGAATGTATACTAAATCTGCCTTCTCACATTGTCTCATCCTTTTATCATCATATTCTTAACTACAAGATTATGAATCTACTCAGTGCATGGAAAGAAAAGTAATAGGCAGCAAGGCTCGACAAAGCTAAAATGTGGTGTTAAAGGCGTGAAAGCTTATGTGCAGCAAAAAGTTTCTAAGCCTCCCAAAGTTTTAATCAGATACAAAAGTGCTTTCGTTGACATTTTGAAAAGTAAGCCTTTAAATTACAATCAGTTTTTTTTATTTTTCATACCTTTTTTGATGAAATACCACAGGCACCCTTGCCTCCCAGTCTTTGTTTCTTGCTCATCTCAGCTATGCCTCACAGCTCCCCTCTCTCCCTCCGTCAGTCCTCCCCTAATCCATATTCTACAGCGTCCTTCCCCACTGCTATCCATCCTCCTCTTGTCCTTGCTTTTGTCATAATCCCAATCATTCATCATCATCCTTCCTCTCTTTATTTCACACTAAGCCTATGCCATGTGTAGCACGAAGTAGCCAAATCACTACTGCACAGCTTTAATGACAAATGAGGTTTAACAGTATGATACTGCAGTAAATTCTTATTTTACACAATGCGGCTTTAGAAACTATTTTGAACTGATGCACAAAGACACACCAATTACAGAAAAAGAATGCAGACAGCAGCAACGGATGACAAGCTACCATTACTTCCTCTATCAGTTTTCTCCTGCCTGCTATTATCACTCAAACAGTGAACAATGAGGAAGCATCTGAAAAAGGGTTTTTGTGCCTAACTACTTGAATGGAAAACAGTGTTTCCCACCTGGTACCCATGAATCAAAATGCTTTTAGCCAGCTCTGAATACCCCATTTTACTCTAAGGCCATTTCTTAGGTCACTTTGAGTCTTGTAAATGCCTATACTTAAGATAGTGTCACCTTTAAACCACTTAAGTTCTTGCTCTCACTGAATTTGCAACATTTTTCTCTGCTGCACTTTGTAGTTAGCCATGATAAAAAAATGTTATCACAGTTACGAACACAGGCGACGCAACATTCTTACCCAGTACCTTCCATCATCCATCTGCCCCCTCCTTCTCTTACCTTCTTCTGGTCCCTCCATTGTTGCTTCAACTTGGCATCCAGACGGTTAGCAGCTGTTACCCACTGCTGTGCGAGGCGGCGGATTCGGCGCTTCATAAAGCTGAGGGACTCTTTTCCTGTCCCAACCTGGTCCAGCAGTACAGAGAGGTCTGTGCGGAAAGCCGCCTGTTGGACAGATTATCATGTAATTCGTGAACTTCGGTGATCATCATATCATCTAATGGCATTATCAGGTAAAAATTTCAACTAGTCCACTACTTTGGTTTATGTCCATGCAAATTCTCAGTCATCCAGGTCATAGTAAGCTGAAAAGAAAAAAAAAAAAAAAAAAAAAAAAAAAACTCATCTGGACTGTTCACCACCAGTCAAACAGAACTGATGAAGCCTCTTGGATGAAAAGTGAAATGTCTTCTACCTAAAACCAAGTCCTGATGATTTTTTTCTATGTTTTTTTTTTCAGCTTCCACTTTGGTTCGTCTATCAGACTGCTTGGTTTTGGTTATAATTAGTGAGACTGTCACATAGTGCCACTAACAAAGCCGTAGACCTTTAAGGGGATATTTACTAAGGTATTGTTTTCTTAATTCTGTGGTGCTAAACAGTGACATTGTGTGTTTATATTTACTAAGAAGTCACAGTGGGGTTTTGCTCATTTACATCATCAGTTTTGGCAAATACGGCACTAAATAAAAAAAATTGTGGTGCTGCAATATTTTCCATGTCTGACTGTAATGTGACAGGTTTAGTGAATATCCCCCATAGTCTTCTTCGTCTTTTTCAGTGGCTCATTACATTGTCACACAAAAGTCTGGAAACAAGTTACAACAGCATGCAGTGCTTTTTCTAACTAATACTAAAAACAAGCAATCAACTTTTTCTCCTCTCCGAACAAGCTCGGCCCAGCCTGTGCTGGTGTCTGATTTGGGTCTCAGGGTAACATGGAGACAACAGCCTTTATTTTTACACTGGCATTCTGCTTCGCCTGCTGACAATTTCTTGCTACCACATATAAAGCGTAAAAAGCAAGGCGAAACCACGAGCACAATGCACACATATTATTTTAAACAGGATTGCCTTGTCTTCCCAAGCATATGCTATAAAAGCCTGATACTAGCTACTGTAACTGGGGACAACACCAACCATTATATGCACTGTTAAGACTTTCTTATTCAATTTGGTAAACAGTTTTATCCAAAGCACCTGAATATCACTGCACAGGCTTGGTTCCAGAAGACACCTTCAGCTGTACTGTATCACCAATGTGAGGAACAAACTAGTTAATATTAAAGTATAGGCCAGTCAATATTAGCAACAGTAAAAGTAAGAATAAAGATTTAATGTTTCTCAGTCAAACTGTCATAATCAAATCTTTAAACAAATCCATATCCAAGATAATGACTTGATATACTAATAAATGTGTAAACAGATACATCAATTAGACAAGTCACATAATTTGGACTATAAACACACTATGTTAGTGTGTTTTCATTTGTGTATAAGAAATACAAATTTGACTGCATTACTTCAGTCAATTTAGAGAAAAAGAGAGGGTAAAGGATGAAAACGAGGGCGATCGGGTTTTAATTTGTAAAACATGAACAAGGTCAGACAAAGGTGAACTAGTGGCAAACAGAATGAAGTGATGGAGTAAAGTCTGTATTGTGCAAGTTTAAACAATATTAGGAGAAAAAGCCTAAACAGAAAATCACAACATACAGTATGTGGGAGATGATTATTATGTTATGAAGAGTGATTTTTCAACAGAACTGAAAGACTTTCCAGCTACTGAGGCAAACTGTCCCCTGCACAGACATAATATAACGTGTGTCTATGGTCCTGTGGATTAACCTAGCAACAAATATTCAACACACGGTGCCTCTCGACGTTAATGTTATGGTTGTTTACTTAACATAGGTTAACCACTCTCAAAGGTCCAGTAACACACCACTAAAGATGTCGGATGATCATCGTGAAACAGGACGGAGAAGTCACTGCAACTCATTGGCAGGGAGGCAGTTAGCTAGCTAGTGCTTGCTGCCCACTCCGCTCCTCCCTGCCCCAGACAAAGACTTTACAAGCCAGTTATGTCAGTGTTGTGTTGGAGTGGGTTCCCTTGTGGAGCTATGTTTCCCCTTAGCAACTTAAGTTGAATCTAACCTTATCCTAGCCCTGACCACTGATGGGGGCACAAAGGGAAATCGTGTTTAACATGCCACGGCTCCCACGTAGCATATATTCTCTCTGCATTATATTGTGTTCTTGTATTTTTATTTGCTCCCTTCACTTGCTGCTTTAAAGTGCCCTCGATTTGTGATTTTACTGCCTATTTAGATTTGTGTTATTGCTCATCTACTTTATATTTCATTTGTATTTTGTGGCATTCATGTGGATGGCAAAGTAAGAATTTCATTGTACAGGGAAACACGTTTCCTAACTGTGCATATGACAAACAAGCAAATAACATTTAAGGTCAGTGACCGTATTTAGGTGCGAACAGCTCAGAAAACTTCACAATGAAGGGTTTCTAAGGAGGGCACGCATCTACATATTGGTAACATGTTTTATTCATATTGTAACATAAAAGAAAATCCATGATTTTAATGTGATGCTACACATTTGGCTGGCCTCCAGTTACAAACCCTCACATTTCTCTCACCCATTGTGCATCAGAAAAAAAATTCACAGTCATATGGCTTCTACAAATCATCTACAGTGGCTTAAAGGAGTTACATTCTTCCTTGAATTTATGACAGCTAAGTGAAAAAAATAATGTGAACAGGGTGCAGTGCAGCAAAGGCTGTTCCGAATTACGAGCTGCATTACCTGGCCCTAATTTTTACCTTCACGATATTTTATGAATTTCCAAAGGCACTACTAACCTAACTGCCCATTATTTTATACTACTGCAGTATTTCATTGTAACTAGGGATGCACCGATGATGATCCCAGTATCTGGTATTGGGTTTGATACCACCCTCTAGTACCCTACCCTAAAAGCTGTCCACTGATACCAGTTAACAGCAGCATTATATTAACCTCATGCTGGCTGAGCTGGTCGTTGGGCAGCAGAGAAGAAATTTCAGCAGTTAAGATAAGTGATGACAACAAAAGTAAAGCCAACTGTGACCTCAGCTTCTCTGTTTGAGTGTGTGTGTGTGTGTGTGTGTGTGTGAGCGTCCATCCCTCCCCGTCTCACACAGGCACGAGGTCGCATTTAACACAAATGTCAAGACTGGAAATGTGCAATAAAACCAAAAGTGATGGAAAGAGCAACTAATCACACACCTGTTTGAGAAACAGAACACAACAACAAACTTGCAAAAATGAGACGTCTTCACTCTCCCTGCGATCAAAATGCCTGGTCCTGTTCATTCTGTTGCCGATTGTAGTGAACTGGTGTGAATGGGAAGGAAACCAGTCCTAAAGTGGTGACATCAAATGAGCTCTGTGTATGACAATGGGTTGAATCCTTGTGGACGTGGAGGCTGAGACCAGCAGCTCGTCTGCAGCGGAGCAGGTGTGTGTCCAGGAGAGAGGACAGGATGGAGCCACACACAGCAGCCAGCTTAACATAAGAGCATGCGGCCTCGTTACATTAAAGATTTAACTTGCCAACTGCGATAATATGTGCTCCTAAACTGTGACGTTCTGGTCAGGGGGCTGTGAAATCAATACGTTCTAACACAGGGTCTCTCCTACAAAGGTTAAAATCCACCGTATTACAGCCAGCAATGGTGGCAGTGCTGTGTTTCTTATCACAAGTCTTCAGGTAAGTTGCACAGCCTCCCCTTACATAGGATGTTCTATTTAATCACTATCATAAAGTCAATCTCACAAAAGTAAACTCTAAAGTCACAGCACTTTTATGGTAGCTATGGTAATTGTTTTTATATTAAGGTTTAGATCTTACTTTGTAAAGTGTCCTGAGACACATTTTGTTGTGATTTGGCGCTATACAAATAAAATTGAATTGAAATGAATTGAAGCACTACATTATTAAGTACTCGGTATCGGCGAGCACTCAAGTGTAAGTACACATACTTGTACTTGGTCTGAAAAAAGTGGTGCATCCCCAGTGATAACCTTGCTGATGAGCAGGCTAGTAATATTTGAAGTAGCAGGACAGATTTTAGTTTTTTGGCTGTTTTAAGTAACAAACAGGAGCTCAAACATCTGTATTTGTGTTTATCTGGGGGGAACGTTACTTTGCATTATTACACTGTATGTTTAACCTCTGATTTGTGTGTTATAGGTATCAAAAAAACTATGTTCCACCTAAAGTATTTTAACTGTCCTGACCGCCTCCTGTCTCATCATAGGATTCATCTTAACACTGAAACAGTCAGGCAGGCTATTATTTCCTTCAAAGTTGCTGTCACTGAGTTTCATGTATTGTTGTGTTAGTACACTGTCTGGTGTATCAACTGAAAGAATGAATCAGCTAAATCCTGCCCATTAGAGAGATTTCCTAATGTTGTGAGCTAATAAACCAATGTTAGTGGCATTTTATTGTAGACAAGGTAATATAACATCCCTAGCACACAGTAGTGTCCATTTCATTCTATGCTGATTAACACAACAGAGCAACCACCACTTATTTTGGCTGAAAAGGTTGAAAATTGCAGAATATTGATTGATTTGTATACCTGGACCTAGTAAAGTCGATGATACTCCCACACACTATATCTGCACATATTACAGACAAAAATAGAACACTGATTTCATCATTAGCTTTTCTTCCTTTGTACCTTCTGCACTATACATAATGGTTAGAGATTATTTTCAAGTCATAAATCATTAAAATACTTAAAGGCCTTAATGAGTTTTAAATTATTAATTTGAATGTAATGAAGGATCTTAATGCTTTGAAGTATTCACAACATTATTGTCATAGGCAGGTTGTGTATAGCTGATTTTATATAAGTAGTCATGTTAACTTCTGCTTTCATAATGCATCTAAGCAGTATTGTTGGTTGCTTCTTTAAGGAGGTACTCCAAACACTGGACGTCTATCAGCTGTCAACTGGCTGCCCTCACTGACTGTGCATACATATTTCTGAGTATCTGTATGTACTAAACATCTCCCGAGCCAGTTCTAAAGACTGATATGAGTGTTAATCCAGACATATTTTAATGGAGCAATATCAGCTAAAATCAAGCCGATCAAAGTACAGTCCTTCAATCACACAACTTTACTGTGTCTGGTCCGTCTCTGCCTGCTAGACTTGTAGTTCAGCTCTCCACAATGACTGATTAACAGATACCCAATATTAAATGACTCAGATCAGGGCTCAAAAAACTTGGGAATTCCTAGTCTATGTAGTAACTCTTTCTTTTTTCATGCCTATGTGTTGGTGACAGCTTTGGATAAACATGCATGTAAACTGCAACTTAACTGGTAGGTGGAGGCATACAGCTGCATGGTGGTAATTCTAGATTTTTTATTTTTGTTGCTGTCTGTTTTGGTGATGATTTCTGCCCCTCACCTGTCTCTTAGGAGCCTTTGCCTGCTGTGCATGTTGCGTGAGGGGGCTGCTGTAGTTCCTCCATGCCAGTGGGGGGCAGAACCATTCCACCTCGCTCAGGTATATGAGGAAAGAGCAGTCTGAGCCGTCGACCCCATAGAAAGCATAGCAAGGGTCCGATGTCCAGCGCGCACGCATCCACTGGGGAATACACACAGGGAAATATGTATGGTTGAAAAATCAATATTGTAGCAACACACAAAAACAAAGAGCAGTGGTAATTATTCTCTATCACAGTGGTTCTCATGGCCATGGATGTTTTACCCTCAGGCTGTGAGGAATCTATAGCTATGTCTCAATTCAGGCGATGCATCCCTGGACGGCTGCATTTGAAGACCAACTGTGTCACAGTGCTGTGACAGGTCTGTCTCATTTTAAAGCTCCTTCAAATGCGGCCGAGAAATGTCATTTTATCGTCGGCCAATGAAGGCTGGTGAATCCTTCGCAGCCCACCCTATCCCAAGATTCTTTGCATGCCGACAGAGAGCAGCCCAGCTGTCGAGGTTGCTAGGTGACAAGCGCAGCATTTCGTAATGTGGCGGTAAGGGCAGGAGCATTTGATAACAAATATAAAATATTCCATACACCAGACTGTCTCATTTCAGTTTGACCTTTGCGGTCTACGACGGCTACAAAGGCCTTCATAGACCACATCCTTCGAAGGATGCAGCTCCTGAATTGAAACACAATGTAGTATATGATTCAGAAAAAAAGTTGATTGATAATTATATAGGGATATTATAGGCTACTGATACGCAGTAATTACCCTGGACTGGGCATGGTTTGTCTGCATGATACATGTCACACCCACCAAAGGTTAGAGATTTTGATCTCAAGTGCTACTATTTCATGACCTGTATGTGGGTGTTTACAGTTCCTTGAGAAGTACTGTAGGGACAATAAAAGGCTCTCAACCCTTTCACAGCTGGGTTTCAGCAGTAGTGTCAATAACAGAAAAAAGTTAGGAACACCCCTTGATTTCAAAATAAAACACTGACACTTACATCTACTTTCCCAGGACACTCGGGGAATCGTGGGTCTCTTGGTACATCACACTGGCTTGATGTTCCATCTCTCACTACTGAAAAGACAGTGAATGAAATTTTTCCTTCAGTAATAAAACATTTTTAGGTTGAACATCTTCTGGAAAGAGGCCAGAGACACAAAGGGAACCACCCATTTTTACAAATCAGTGCCTACAATTACTCAACTTCATTAGTTAGCCTCACTTACTTATAGTAGCTAACTTAAAATAATTGGTATTAATGTAAATATTCTTTCTCCAGTTAAGATAACAATTCCAGCATCAACCAGTCAGCATCAGCTCACTGAGCAGCATATGGTGAATTGTCAAAGCCTCTTTAAAATTTAGCTTTTATTTGATTAACATTCACAGAATGACTGCAGACATGAAGGCGTCTAACCCACAGGCTCACCCCTCAGAAGTGCCAGGTGACTGTATCACTCACACTGACAGCTTTTCTCCACTCACCTGTGGGTGTTTCATGACAATGTTCACTTCCTCGCTCAACATCATCATTTCCAGTATGTGCCATATGTGCTGTCTGTGCCCATAAATCAACGAGGTCCCCCCTTTGCATCATCGCACTGCATCTGCTCGACTGCAGTGCACACTGTTCATTGGGCCCGACAAAGCAGCACAGCCCGTCTCTCACTGCTGCCAACCATCCTAGGGTGACGCTAGCAAGCATGTCTGCTCACTTAGCCCACACTCACTGCATTAATTGCTCCACTGACTTAGTTAACAGCCTCTCTACTGCTGATGGGAGGAAAAAAGAAAAGAGAGTGACAGAGAGAGAACTGAAATAATAGAGTCTGTGAAGGAACCAATGCAGCCTCCTTTACTCATTGTGGCTCAGTCTTTGAAACCCATCCCCTCTCTCTAGACCAACAAATTTACCTTCTCTCTAGATGCCGTCTGTTTACCTAATGAAAAAAAGACATTTCTCCACATAAGCCTTCACTGAGGCTTCTCTCCATCAAATGAAACACCCACTGACTACAAATATGATTATAATAACAACCACTATAGCAATTACTGGAAATGTGGTCAAGTAATTGCAAGATGAAACAAAAAAAACCTCCATCACTGCTTGAAGTGAAAGAAATTCTAATCACATCCTCTGTGTCACGTCTCTCTCTCCTGCTTGTGTTGTTTCTCTCTCGCACATGCCTGACCACGAGATAAACTGCCACTGAGCCGTATGATAATAAAGTCTGCCTGTAGTGTTTCAATTCATCTGTGATTAGAGAAAGCAGCAGTATTTTCATTTTGGCATGTGCCGCTGTCTCTGCAGATGCAGCAGGGAAAAAACAAAAGGAGATGTAATGCTCATTTAATCTCATGCAAGGAATTGGGTAATTACCCTCAAGAGAAAAAGTGAGAGAGGAGGAAAAAAGGGGGATCATAATGTGGCTTAATGATGTGTGTGTGTGTGTGTGTGCGCGCACACTGAACTGGTATAAGTTCTGTATTATTTAGGTCTTGAATTAAAAAAAAGTGCAAGCGGAAAAACGACAGTGTTGGATGGGAGCAATACAGAGATGACAACAGTGTCCCGCATACACAAGTGTGCATCCCCAATTATTCACATACACTATTTTAACAGGACAGTAAAATAAAACCAACCTGCTCTGTTCCTGATTTTGACACTCAGAAGGTCAAACTGCAGCAAGGTTTTGATGTTTAGAGATTTTGGTTGATGTTTCTGAATATTTATTTTGTTGTTATTTGTTCCAATATTGTTTGTTTGGTTTAATGTTTGTGTGTAAAAAGATGTCAAACTGTATTCTAACGGGAGATCAGAAGTGATTTTTGTCAGGCATCCTCATTTACACCAATGTGTGTCTCTCTCTTACTGTCTGTCTGCTGATCTATTTTGTATTCCCTTGTAAGCAACAGCAGTTTTCCCCAAAGACAACAGCTGTGTGTAAGTCCAGCTTCAAGTTATATTCAGTTGCCTAAGTCATACACTCACTTCTTTTGTCAGTTGTTAAACTTACTATGGTACAGTATGTCCCATGCATGGCTATTTTAAACAAAGTTGCATCACAGTTATTGTAGCGATACTGTACCTCGGCCTTGTACCATGCTGTTTTGCAATATCTGCTCCACTCGGATGGCCATGTTGGAGACGTTCTGGGCTATAGCTTGAATTCTCTCCACCAGGCCGGCTGGTTGAAACCTGCACGCACACACACACACAGACACAAACAAACAGAGAGCTGTAGAATTAAAAAGAAGTAGAGGCATGTGGCAGTGACAGGTAGCCTCACACTGTGCTGACACAAACTTTATTTTAAAACACAAGTGCCATTGACTAAAGATAAACACTGGAGAAGTGTCTGTATCACACACACACACCTGGCACTCCAAAATTTTTAACAACAGTTTAAAAAATATCTCACCACCCATTCCACTTCTCCCAATATAGTCGTATCACTTCCTCCTTCTGTGTTCTTCTCAAGTCGCTTCCCTATTTTACATTCTTCATCCTTCTTCTTCCTCGGTCCTAGGCTAGTCTCTCTCCTTCATTTATTCCCATCCTTAACTACTGTTTCATTGTTACTTCTACTTTTGTTCTGTCTCTTATTTTCTCACTTTCCTTTTGCGGCCTCTCTTTTTACATTTCAACAGATGTAGAAGTGTTAGTGAGAGATGCAAACTGGTAGACACTTGACTGGAGCGTGAAATAGAAAAGAACAAAAAACACAGTGCTGTTAATATCACTTCCTCTGTAGGGTGGGAGACTTCCCATTCACATAAACTGTGTGTTTTTATTGTGTTCAGGAGTTTGCATCTGTCTCTCTGTTGACCATAGCTTTAATTGTATGCATTCTGCATATTGCATCTGCATATTTCCAAGGCATCAGATGACATAGTTGCACATCACGCAAAGTCATGCCTGTGTACCCACACACTTATAGTGCTGTGCCCATTATGTCCATTTAAATGATCTCAGTGAGCACTGTGCACGTGTGTGTTTGTGTGCACAAGTGTCGTCCTGTTTCTCCGTTTTGTCTAATCAGCAAATTGTATTAACCCTCATAGCCAGGGGCTTAAATGTAGCACAATAACACAGATGTGCGTGTATGTACACAATGGAATGAAAAACTGCTTGTCTAACTAAACACCAACAGCAGCTGCATGGAAATGAAAAAAATGTGACCAAGGGAATATGTGAGGAAAGTGCATTTGTTACTTAACAAAGTGTAAACAAAAAAAGGAGGCAGTCATCAAAGTCAGGCAGTCTCCACACTCCACGGACAGCTTTCTAACCAGTGCTAAGTATGTTTACAACCTCTTTAATATGTTCAGTACAACAGAGAAGCCATTATTTTCTAGTGCATGTTTATTTCAGGGGAAATAACCGTCTTCAAAATATAGAAATGTGCTGAACTGTAAAACTGTAGAGTTATATGCAGTATTTTTGCTGCATAAAATAAAGCTCTGACATACAGTCCAGTAGGGTCTTTTAAGGGAGTCATTCTCAAAGAAATTTTGAAGTGAAAATTATAAGAAACTCTTCAACCTTAAAAAAAAACATCCCAAGTATCTTGTTTACTGACATCTAGCCAGCAAGTGTTTGCACAAATTGATCTAAAGACATGTCTGTGCAAGCTGAAAATTTCCCAACTTGAGTAAAACAAATCATGCATATTCCAGGGAATGAATCTACTTGACCATACAGAGAAGATAGGAAAAAGGAGAGAGAGAGTGGAAGCTAATAACAAAGAAATTTTATTTGTGGTGAGTTCTGAGTTCAGAGACTGTTCTGAATGCAAACACATACAGTGGGTATGGAAAGTATTCAGACCCCCTTAAATTTTTCACTCTTTGTTATATTGCAGCCATATGCTAAAATCATTTAAGTTCTTTTTTTTCCTCATTAATGTACACACAGCACCCTTGACATTTTTGCAGATTTATTAAAATAGAAAAACTGAAATATCACATGGTCATAAGTATTCAGACCCTTTGCTGTGACACTCATATATTTAACTTAGGTGCTGTCCATTTCTTCTGATCATCCCTGAGATGGTTCTACACCTTCATTTGAGTCCAGCTGTGTTTGATTATACTGATTGGACGTGATTAGAAAAGCCACACACCTGTCTATATAAGACCCTACAGCTCACACTGCATGTCAGAGCAAATGAGAATCATGAGGTCAAAGGAACTGCCTGAAGAGCTCACAGACAGAATTGTGGCAAGGCACAGATCTGGCCAAGGTTACAAAAAAAAATTCTGCTGCACTTAAGGTTCCTAAGAGCACACACCTGAAGGACTCCAAGATGGTGAGAAATAAGATTCTCTGGTCTGATGAGACCAAGATAGAACTTTTTGGCCTTAATTCTAAGCGGTATGTGTGGAGAAAACCAGGCACTGCTCATCACCTGTCCAATACAGTCCCAACAGTGAAGCATGGTGGTGGCAGCATCATGCTATGGGGGTGTTTTTCAGCTGCCGGGACAGGACGACTGGTTGCAATCGAGGGAAGGGTGAATGCGGCCAAGTACAGGGATATCCTGGACGAAAACCTTCTCCAGAGTGCTCGGGACCTCAGACTGGGCCGAAGGTTCACCTTCCAACAAGACAATGACCCTAAGCACACAGCTAAAATAACGAAGGAGTGGCTTCCCAACAACTCCGTGACTGTTCTTGAATGGCCCAGCCAGAGCCCTGACTTAAACCCCATTGAGCATCTCTGGAGAGACCTGAAAATGGCTGTCCACCAACGTTTACCATCCAACCTGACAGAACTGGAGAGGATCTGCAAGGAGGAATGGCAGAGGATCCCCAAATGCAGGTGTGAAAAACTTGTTGCATCATTCCTAAAAAGACTCATGGCTGTATTAGCTCAAAAGGGTGCTTCTACTAACTACTGAGCAAAGGGTCTGAATACTTATGACCATGTGATATTTCAGTTTTTCTTTTTTAATAAATCTGCAAAAATGTCAAAAATTCTGTGTTTTTCTGTCAATATGGGGTGCTGTGTGTACATTAATGAGGAAAAAAATGAACTTAAATGATTTTAGCATATGGCTGCAATATAACAAAGAGTGAAAAATTTAAGGGGGTCTGAATACTTTCCATACCCACTGTAGGCACGCTCACACGGATACAGTCGGAGTGTCTGTTGCTATTTAGCTTACAGCTAACATCTGTACAATTGGTACATTGGCTGTTTGGGGAGGAAAAAAAAACACCTGAAACAATCCAGCAGCAAAATCAGAGTGAAAAAATGTGATACGAATTTGCTTTGCTTTTGGACTGAGCACATATTGTGATTCAGCTAAACGACTTAACACTTCTCAGCTCTAGCCATCTATTTTCCCACACCTGTCTGGCTCTGGGTCGCAACAATCCCATATGTCCTTCTCCCTAGCCACATCCTTGGGTGTACCAAGGTATTTCTAGATATTTCTGGATATGTAATCCCTTTGGGTCTGCCAACGTGGTCTCCTACCAGTTGGATGTTCCTGGAATACATCCACAGAGAAGTTTCCATGAGACATGTGAATAAGATGCCCAAACCTCAACTGAGTTGTTCAGTGCAAACAAGCAGCAATTGGTTTCACACTATCTAAGAGCATGAGCCCAGCCAACCTTCAAAAGAAAGTCACTGAAGCTTGTATCCATGATCTTGGCTATAGTTAAAGGCTGGAACACTGATCAGCTGGTAAATAGTGAGCATTTCCTTCAGGCTGAGCTCTGCCTTTGGCACCACAGTGTCTGCATTGCTGCTGCTGGTATCAAAAACAGGATCCCATGATACTTAGTGTCCTTAATTTGGGAAAATTACTCTCTCCCAGCACAAAGGGGACAATTCACTGTTTGTTGGCAGAGTACCATGGCCTCAGACATGTAGGTGTTGACCCCCATTACTGTCGCTTCACACTTGGCTGCAAACAGTGTTTGTTCTAACTGACTTCCAAAATTCATGGGCTCTGGACATTCGGTGATAATAATCGGTAAATATTTGAAGATCGGCTGCAGCCACTTTCATTCTGTCCTGTCATCAATTTAAGTCACAGAGTCAACGTTAGTTAGCGACAGCTGGTATGACCTTGAGACAGAGACGATCAGCAGAAGCTGCTACCCGAACGCTTTCCACACAAATACTAAAACTGAAAACCGATTACCTTCCCAACAAACAAATATCTGAATACTTGGGCATTCGAGTCCAGCAAGAAGGTTCTGGGTTTGAGCCAAGGCAGACTGGGGGCATTTTTGTGTGGAGTTTGCATTTTCTCCCTGTGCAGCTTAAGTTCAAAATTGCCCCTAGGAGTGTGAGTGTGTCTGGTTGTCTGTCCACATCAGCCCTGCAATAAACTGGCAACCTGACCAGGGAGTACCCCACCACCTCTTGCCCAATGCCAGCTGGGATTGGCTGCACCTGAGTGAGAGAAATAACTCCCAGATGGTGGTATCTGTATTCGTCATTCTGTGCAAGCAAGACAAATACAATGTAATGTTGGAGAAAGATATGTATTACAGTACTTTATATGGGCTTATAACAAAAGCCAACATTATATAGGCTGGGAGAGTTGAGAGAAAACTGAAATATAAGCAGGCAGAAAATAAAGGAAAGATCAATCATCCAAGAGTGCCAGGAGGACCTTTCTGAAAAGGATGTAATAAAAAGCTCCTCTGTGCCTTCATGTGGAATCCAACAAAACAGCTCGACAAGACGTTTCAATGACAATTATGATAAAAGGACATACATATTTGATGGTCCTCTCTTACATGTTACTTGCAGTGAAGCCTTCTCCCTTATGATGAATCTAGACAGTTGGGTATTTTACAAATGAGGAAAATAAACGAGGAAGAGCAAAGAGAAGACAAAATGGGGGAAAAGAAGAGCGAGAAGAAACAACAAGAGGGGATCTACTGGCAGATGCCAAGCAGACGTAGAACACAGAAAGAAGTGGTAAAGGAAAAAAGATAGAGTTTCTAAGGATGTTAAAAAAGCTCTTCTTATTTCTGTTTCCCTCCCTTTCTATCTAATAAGCTCATCTTCTTAAAGGAGCAAGATGGATCTGGCAGCACCCCATTAACCAGAGATGCATGTGACAAGTGTGACAAGGTGACAGTATGTGTGTTTAGCTGAGGTCTGTTTTTCATGTTAATTTATTCCAGCCTGTGTTATTGTGTGATGCACACATGTATGAATGTAGACAA